GGTGACCTTCTGTCTTCACATCGGCTAGTCTTCGATTTTGCCAATGGCTTTAAGTACGTACCAAGACACCAACTTACAAAGAACCAATAACTACTAAGTGTTGCTTAAGGTAGAGGAACAGATCAGTGGGTCATCACCAAATCAATAGGTGACCCAACATTATCTTTTCTTTTCATGTTTCCAAGATACTTTTGATACCCTTCACTCATGTCTTCACCCTCTCATACCTCTATGTCTTCTCCTCATCCCCCAAGGTAAGATTCAAACTGATATTCATCATGAGTTATTAAAAGTTCTCTCATTCCTCTTTCATTCAATTGCTCTAGAACTCTCGGTCTTGCTCTTGATCTCTTGATTCTTCGTTTTTGGTGTAAATCGAACACATTTGTGGAGTCGTTTAAATATGTTGAATTTTAAATATATTGGATTTTAAACCGTCGTACAATTTTTCCATCGATAGACTGTAATTGGAACCATAACTCTTATTTATTCAAATTGTTTTAATATGTAAATACCAAGTGTAACTTATATCATCGTTAAAACTTCTCTAATAAAACCAGTGAAACTTCAAAATCGTTAAAATTCACGCTCTCGCCGCATTGCGCAGGTACACAACTAGTCACTATTTTGTTATAATTTTGAAATTATATTTAGCAAACCAGACATTCTCGTTCTCTTTTCATATTACATTTCAATTTCTGTCAATTGAACATATAGTCAAATCTGATTGAATTTCGTTTCAATTCTTTTTACATGCTCAAATTCCAACAGATTTCATTCGGTGGATCAAACATCACCTAACAAATTGGTGTGACACGTTTTCTTCTTAATGAAAATATACAGATAGACTACCTTAAATAAGACGATAATCAATTAAAAACCACAAAAAGATTACAATCCCATGATAACCAATGTAAACATATTTTTTACATGGTTTTTTTTTCCGTCAAACACTAGATTTTAGTTATTGTTTCACATATGTTTGTGTTCATATGGTGAAAAAAATCCATGCAACGGTTTTCATCTGATTTAGTGCGTCAATGCGTACACACGTACGCGCGCGCGCACACACACACACACACACACATATATATATATATATATATGTGTGTGTGTGTGTGTGTGAGAGATTGGGTTCATATGAGACTAGTGAGACCATTTTTTTACACTTGAAACTTCACAGCAAAACGCTGTGAAGGTAAAAAACCCCTGAACCTTCACAGCAAAAAAAGTGGTAAAATAGTGACATCATGAGTCTCACGAAAACAGACTGGTCTCACCGTTAAGTTATGGAGTTTGATTAATTGACAGTTGATCCAAATATTAGAGAAAAGAATCTCTCGAGATTTTGGGTCCGACCCACTTGGGAGTTTAACCTATTTTACTTCTATAAAACCAATCTTATGTAATTGTAAACCCTAGCCGTCATATCAATAAAATCCTTACTATTGTAGCCATGGACTAGTTTGATCAAACCGATCAAGTGAACCACGTGAAATCCTGTGTGTTCTTTCTCCTTTTTTTGTTCTTACTTTATTGTCATCGTGTTCGTAACAGTGATATTGAGCATTGCTTCCCAACACTCACGTAATCCCAAGTTATATATATATATATATATATATATAGAGAGAGAGAGAGAGAGAGAGAGGTGGATTATTATGCAACAATTTACATTTGTACAACCAATACAACTCAATTTCAACCATCCATTTAATTTGATAAATATATAATTTCATAAAAGTTTTAATTGTTTTCTAATATAAAATATTTATCATAATTAATTAACTCTAGTCATCTTCCATAAATATTCAAATAATAATAAATGAACTCTCATCATTTCCATAAATATCTCAATTAATTAAGTTGTATTAGTTATACAAATAGACATAATTGTATTTGAAATATATTATATATATCATACAATTTTTTTAATTTTATATTATAGTTAAATTTAGAATCGGTTTTTGGTGAAGGTTTCCAAAGTCTAAATTTGTTGAACTTCTTTTGACACCTAAATTGAATTTTATAACAATTAGTTTTCCTTTTTGCCGCTATAAAGCGTTAAAGATGATACAAGTTTGACTCAAAATTCAAAAATACGGACCCCAATATTCCACCAAAACGTGACAAAAAGATGTTCTCGTTGACTTCCTTCCACTTCTTTGACTCTTTGCTTCATCATCCTCAAAAAAACTACCCATCATCGGATTAATAATTAATCTGATGGTTGTTTACGTGTAAACATTTACTGGGTAATAATTATTATTTTCATTTTAAGATTTAAAGATCGATCTATGAATTTTTTCAAGTGATGACACCATTTAACTATAAGAAATACAAATATAGATTTTTCACATAATTATCATTGGTCTGTTGGTTAGTTTTTTTTTTATATGCGAAGTTTCGGGTTTGAGTCGTTAATCGCAATTTTCCCCCCAGAAACATAATACATTTGAAATTAAAAATTAAGAAAATGACTCAAACAGGATCCGAGCTTGCACTTAAGATAGGAAAAAAAACAATGCAAACCAACTCAACCATAGTAAACTTATGTTCTTATTGTGTTTCAAAATATATATGGTTGCACAGGACAAAGTGGTACAATTACACCTTTCACGAACCTATTTTTTTTTTACATTATAACGAAAGTTGTGGGTCCGCCCTTGATAAGATTTTCGGTCATTAAAGTAGCATATAACATAAAAGTCGTTTACCGAACAATGCTTAATGAATATGTGTGGTCAAAGATGAATAGATGATTATAGGTACAACCTTGGGGAGGGGTTGCTTCAGCCACAAACTCAAATACAAGACATTAATGCTTAAATAAGTTGTGTAAACGTAAAGAATTAGGAAAAAGGAAACAGACGCTCAGATTTTGTGAAAAAGCCTGACAAATATGTCTTTTTAGACAAAAATAAAAAATAAAAATTAATTTAATTTTTGAGAATTCTTTTAATTTGTTATATGTTATTTTTTAGGAACGAAAAAAAATTAAGGATGGTTGTTTTTAATACGTTAGTGGAGGCTGTTTACTTGCGGCTTAATTAGGCTTATTCGCACAGCTCATTTGAGTTGTTTACTTACGGCTTATTAACACAAAACATGGCTTAATCGCACGGATAGAAATGATGTGTTGTCCCCGTTCAGCCACAAAAATGACACCCTTACCCTCTATTTAAAGCATCGCCTTCTTCCCAAATGAGACACCCCATCGTCAACCTCTTTATGATTTTCTTGTTTTGATGTTTATATAATTGACATTGGGGGGTAAATCCGTCATTTATGTTATTCAGATAAAAAAAGTAAAAAAACAACACCCATTTATCCAGACATAAAAATTTATCCCGACAGATAAATTTATCCATACAAAACTTAATAAAAAATTTGGTAAACAACCCTTTGGTTTATGTTCGTTACAAAGTAGAATTAATGAACACGAGCATAGTGAACGGAACATGAACAAAAAAAATTCCGTTTATTTAACGAATACGAACAAGCCTCCTTTCATGTTAGATCGGTTCATTTACAGTCCAACGCTTCTCTTGTGACTTCCTCTTCGTTTCACCGTGCAACCTAATTCAAACTTCTGCAAATTTCTATCTCTAGTGAAAAATCTCGTATTTTGGTATTACCCATCAAGTGTTCGATGAAATGCCAAAAAAGGGTTTATTTTAGCCATTGAATTTTGTTTCTTCTGTGGCCTTAGATATCTTCGAAACTCTTGGATCCTTGCTTTCAGAAGCTTCCATGGAGTCATATATGCGTTACAAACCTCAACAAGATTTCTTGTTTTTTTGGCATTGTCCACATTCCAAGCATTTGTTGAAGTTAGAAACAGGAACATTGATGAATCCCACAAATTATTCTAGCAACAGAAGCTTGGTTATGTTCCATAACCCAACTCGATTCATTGCATATGATCGTAGATGCTGGAGATGATCATTTTGTTTTGCATTTTTATATTCATATATACTCAAATTTGTTTGTATTGTTCTTCTTTTCCTATAAAAAAAATGGAAGATTGTTCTACTTTTAGTCACAGGCAAGAAAACCATCTAACATGGCCAACAGTTTGGTTTTCACAATTGCATATGTTTTCATTCTGTTTTGTTCTTCGGCATTCGGGAATCGGATGTACTTGTCTTGGAACAAAACGAATTCAGTTGTTGCTGCTTCAAATGCTGATGGTATCTGCAAGTTAATGGTGGAGCCACGAGGTTACACTTGTGAAGAACACAAAGTGACAACTAAAGATGGTTATGTGCTAAGCTTACAACGAATCCCATTAGGACGATCGGGTGGCAAGAAGGGAGACCGGGTGCCGGTTCATTTGCAGCATGGTCTCCTAATGGTTAGCGACTCCTTTCATCACACTCATGTTATTGATATTTTATCGTTATGTGAGAATACGTGGGACCCTATTAGATTGCTCTCCAAAAGATCCATTTAGGAGAGAAAGTGTCAAAGTCCAACCGATATGAGACTCTAACACGCCCCCATCCAATGGAGGCTAGACGGGCAAAAATGTCCCATAGTATCAGTCTTGGGCAACATCTCTCAAATGGTAGACCCAAGCTCTCTGATACCGTGTGAAAATATGTGGAGCCCCATTAGATTACTAACCAAAAAAGCCATTAAGTAGAGAAAAGAGGTTCAACGTAGAGATGCACAAGGCCCACCCGAGTGTCAAGTCCCAGGCATTGATGTCCCAAATAGTAGACCTTGATTCTGATACCATGTGAGAATATATGAAACCTGGGGCGAACCAATTAGGAACTGAGTGGGCTTTTGTAAACCTGTTCACTCGATTATTGCAAGAGAAAAAAACTTAGCGGTATGAAAGATGCACCCGCATGATTTTGAGAGGTGTTTCTTAAATACTTTGAAACCAAATCTATAATAGAAATCAAACACGGGTGGGATGGTTGGATTACCACTTTATATATAAGGGCCTGGGTTCGCCACTATATGAAACCCTTTTAGATTACTCTCCAAAAAATCCCTCAAGGGAAAAATGGGGTTTCAACATATATCGAAGAGAAAATGTACAGTCCAGCCAATGTAAGACTGTAACACTTTAAACTTACCGTAATCTTTTTTTTTCTAATGAATCAGGACAGTATAACATGGCTGTTGAGCCCTCCAGATCAATCGTTAGCGTTGGTTTTAGCTGATAACGGGTTTGATGTCTGGCTAGCTAGTTCAAGAGGAACCAAATATAGCCGTGGTCATGTATCTCTCAAGCCTGATGATGAGGTTAGTTTTTTATAACGAGATCTCGTGATTTCTTTAGATGTTTAGTGACTCGAAATTGAAAAAATAACATGAAAATTTCGTAGGCTTATTGGGATTGGACGTGGGATGAGTTAGCAGCTTATGATCTTCCAGCCACATCTCAGTATGTCCATGATCAAACAGGCCAGAAACTGCATTATGTTGGCCACTCGTTGGTGAGAGCTCGACCTTTTAAACGTTGCCTAATTACAATGGCGTTCGATAAGCCAAGATTTGACCCTTTTTTTGCTTATTTTTGTAGGGAACTTTGATGGCAATGGCTGCATTTTCGAAAGGTGAGGTTGTAAGCATGCTAAGGTCCGCAGCATTGCTTAGTCCGGTTGCGTATGTAGGCCAGATCACGTCCCCTTTAGGCAGAACCGCTGCTGAAAACTTCCTGGCTGAAGTAAGACTCGAGATCTTCTACACACTACGATAAAATTGGCTTTATAAATATCTAAATGTTCTAACAGATTGACTTATAAGACATAAGTTTATCCAACCAAACAATTGTGCGTCCTATATACAGGTTTTACAATATGATGTTATGACGTATTTGGTATAAACGTAAGTCGGTCTATTATGACTCGTAAACATAAGGGAACTTGAACAAAATAGCCAATCTTCCAAAGCAAATTTACTTTTTAGCCATTTTTTCAATCGAATTCTCATTTTAGCCGTTTTTCCAAACTCGATTTTCAGATTTAAAAAAGGAAAAAAAATCTTTACGCAAATTTGCGTAAGGATCCACATTTGCATAAAGATTTTCTGTTCTTTTCCTTTAATCTGAAAATAGGGTTTATACAAACCCCTAAACTCGGGATAAAATGGGAATTCGGTTCCAAAAGTCACAAAAAAATGAATTTGGTTGAGGAGATCGGCTATATTAGTGAATTTCCCTAAACATAATCGGGTTATCGATTTGTTGTAGGTACATTTATCAAATGTCAATGATCTTGTATGATAATCTGACCATTGTCTCTATACAGACCTTGAAATGGCTGGGCCTTCACGAGTTCAACCCGAAAGGGTGAGGTTTGCGACGTTATATATTATACGTACATTTTTTGGTATATATATTCATACGGGTCGTTGTATATGTGATCAGGGATGCTGTGACCAAGCTTCTCAAGAAAATCTGTGCGCAACCGGGGGTGGATTGTACCAACTTGTTGAATTCATTCACAGGTATTACTAACATTGTTTATTTTCGGTCTCCAAATCTGTAAAGATTGTAGAACTAAAACTCAAATGTTTTCTGAGTTTAGGCAAAAACTGTTGCTTGAAGCCTTCGATAGTTGACGTTTTTCTAGACCATGAGCCGCAACCGAGTTCTACGAAGAACTTGATCCATGTAGCTCAAAGTAAGCTTTTTGTTCTATATATGCTTGAGATTCGTTTATTCATAATGAATATACTTAAATATCCATGAATATCATATATATACATATATTTATTCATGATATTCACAATAAATGATTGGTTCACATGTTTTCCAAAATATTTATGGTTCTCAAATGAACCTGCCACTATTTGATGTCTTAATTTGTGGGGTATTTGATAGTGATAAGAGAAGGAACGATCCAAATGTACGATTACGAGGACGAAGGCGAAAACCGGAGGCACTACGGGCAATCCACGCCTCCGGCTTACAACATTGAAAGCATACCAAAAAACATTCCGTTTTTCCTAAGCCATGGTGGTGCAGACGCCCTTTCCGACGTGAACGACGTGAAGCACTTGCTACAAACACTCAAAGATCACGATCGAGATAAGATCGTGGTTCAATTCCAAGAAGATTATGCTCATGCCGATTTCGTTATGGGCACAAATGCTAGACAAGTTGTCTATGAACCTCTTATGACTTTTTTCAAACGTTATTGAGGACATAACGGAGACCACATTACGTGACTCATTGTTTTTGTTGTTTCAAATATGTATTCATTTACGATTTTATTTGTATCGTTTCTTGTATGATATTGAAACACGATTCGAAACAAGTGTTGCTTCACATCCTGAGTCGGACTTGCTTTAATCGTTGAAACTTTCTTATATACCGAAAGTTGATTATAAGTTTGAATTTAGAAGCAGATTTCATATATGTTATCAGATGTATGTCAATAGACAGATAACAAAAGTTTGAACCTTTTAAGTATGATATGTGGGTTTTTTTTTTTTTGGAGATAGAAGAATATTATTGGTTTTTATAGGCTGTGAATGAGTTGCAATAATCAGTTTCCCGGTTATAACTTATTGGGACTATAATGGTCGAAGAAAACCAAGTTTTGGGATAAATGTTAGATTACGTTAACTAATTTTAACTTTGAGGGGGTGAAATGGATATAAACCAATTCTTGTGTCCTTTTTCTGAATTTAGGTCATAAAGTTTTAACGGTTTATGTACGCTTTGTGCCTTTAGAAAGAACGAATGGTGAAATCCAGATCGACCATGCATCGGTTTGTGTTACTTTATTTAGGAGCTCTTTATCAAACACTTAATTAGTAAGTGTTTATCAGTAAAATTTAATACTATTATTTATTTATCGGGTAAAATTTTAATCCACCAAAACAACATCGTATGCAACAATTTACCCGGTAAGCGCTTACCGTGGTAAGAGTCGTCGCCCTCACTTACCGGATAAGACTCTTTGTCCTTGTCTCGCTTTTACCGGGTAAGATTTTTGGTCTTTACCATATTCATGCGATGAGGTAACGTTACTTGGTAAACACTTACCTGGGTAAGCGTTTGGTAAACGGCCCCTTAGTAAAAATTGTAATATTTTTGGTATTTTATAAGTATAAAATAGGTTTCAGGTCCGATGACTCCGGTCCCGTCACTGCCCTCACCGTGCTGTTGAGTGGTAAAAAAAATGACCATTTCATATTGGTGTCCTTGAACACGGGTTCCGTACGAGACCAGTTGAAGTTGTCGATAATCAATTTTTTATCCTAATAAACTTATTTATTTCTGATTGATAACGTAATTATAAAATCTTTATAATTCATAGTGGAAGGTTTAAATAAAAGACTGAATATCGTGAGAAGAAAATGTTAAGGAAAAATTGATACGTGAATTATTGGAAAACTGGGAAAAAATATATTTTGTGTATATGTGAATCAACATTACAGGTTATCCATATAAGTTCATATATGCATCTTCAATTGGATTTTTTCAAGATTCACATATTAAAGGGTTGTTTGGCCGTTGCAGAATGGTTGAGTTGTCGAAATGATTAACAGACTCTCATGATGTAGTGCAAAATAAAATATAATTATTTGGTAATTGTTTACAATGAAATCAGAGCACTGAATGGTTAAGGGAGACACATGATACAAAATCATTCAAAGGGTTTTAGAACATTAAGAGACAAGACTTTTTTTTGCGAAACAAGATTCACCTTTTAATGATTCAAAGACCGCCTCTTAATGAAACTATTAAGAGGTAAACAAACAACCCTTAACTTTTCCTAACATTCTCTTCTTATTTTTTTGTGATATTTAATCTTCTTATTTGAACTGGTTTTGATTACCTTAATATAAACTCGAAAAAAATTATATAACATATTTAATTTATATCATAAAGAATTATTATTTTAGAAAAATATTATTAAAAATGTGGTGGTGGTGGTGGTGGTGGCCGTGTGGCAAGGCCTGCGACGCAATGCTGGGGGTGTCAATGACGGTAGTCGTGGTGGTGGCTTGATTAAAAGTTAAATTTGTAACATTTAACAAGAAGGATTCTATAAAATACAAAATAGAGTTTTTGTTTTCTACTTTGTCCTAACATATTTTTTTGTATTATTCTAAAAGGTAAATTGTATGAAAAAGTAACATACTTTAACTTAATTCCTATTTTGGGTAACGTACTTTCAAAACTTTTATTTTGGTACCTAAGTTGTAAAGTTTCAAACATTTAAGTACCCGGGTAAGCGGTTGAAGCATTAACCAGCTATCATGTTGATTTGGTGAACGATATGGTATCCAAGTCAATATTATTTGCTGACATGGATATCTTAATCTAAAATTAGTTTTTTATGTGTTATGGTTTATTAGAAGAAAGAGTTAATGCTTCAACCGGTTACCCATGTACTTAAATGTTTAAAACTTTACCTCTTAGGTACCAAAATTAAAATTTTAAAGTACGTTACCCAAAATAAAAATCAAGTTAAAGTACGTAACTTTTTCTTGTAATTTGTCATATTCTAAAAATAGAAAAAACCAGTTAAAACTTTAAGTTTTGAGAATTTTTTAGAACCTGATGTGTGGAGAGATAAACGAATAATTTATTCATTCAACCAGTAAAATAAAATAATTATTATTTTATATAAATCTTTTAAAAAAAATATTGAAGTCATAAATTTATTGGATAAATAAAATTAATATTAAAATATTTAAAACAGAGAATCTGTTAAAAATTACAGATAAAAAAATTATTTTCCTCTTCCTTTCTTTTTCTTCCGTTTTCTTTTCCCTTCAAATTCGATAACACAACGTTAAAATTATACTTTATTTTTAAACAAAAATACAATATTGATATAATATATATATATATATATATATAATTTAAAAGAAAATAATAATTAAATGTATAAAACTAGATAAAAAAATAAGTCATAAAAAAGTTAATCTTGTTCATAAATTAAATTTATTGTTGAAAGTGGGTCCCACTAATTAGTAAAATTAAAGATAAATAATGTCACAATCATTACCAATTTAAAGGTAGAGTTGTTAAGAAAGTCTTCCATACCACACCTACTAAATTAAGTTTTCTATTACTTTAACAACAAATTATATATATAAAAAAAAGTAAATCTATATGACAAATACAACAAATAAATTCATACATTCTCCTCATTTTTTGTGATGTTTGAACCATTAATCTCCTAAAAGGCCAAATACTACGATACCGTTAGATCAAATGTCATTTGGTTATATTTAGTAGTTTAGAGTTAAAGAATGTGAAGTCTGAAAACAAAATACCTTTTTTCGTTCTTGTGTAAAATGGTGGATGTAAAAATAAGAATCCACACCGAATCGTGACAAAAATGCTCATTATTTGATGAATAAACAGATTCATTGAAAAAGTCATGACTATACCTAACAGTAAAAGACTCTGAAAAGCTTCACATATCTGAGATGTATGGATTTTTCAAAACTTCATGGTCAAATTTTATCTATGCCGTGTATGTCAAACTTGAGGATGTTAAAATGTGGGCTTAATCATTTGAGAACTCGTTGTGATAACTGTGAAAACTTTTACTTAAAGTATTGTTTTACATGATTATTTTCTCATCTAAGACTAACAGTTAATGTATTGGTGAACATATATTTATTTTACTGTGTGTTTGTTTCATATGTATTTGCTCCACAATGTGAAACATTTTTACATATAATTTTTGTTTCACAAACAAGCTAAAAAGTTCATATTGTAAAACAGTTATAAGTTAATCAATATCCTAAATCCTAGTCTTAAATGAAAAAAAATATCATATGAAATAGCACATGATGCACAATTGTCAAAGTTATCATAATTTCATGGTTCTGAAAAGACTGTTCCCATCAAAATGGAAAACTTTCAACCTGCATATTCTTAAAAGCATCTCTTAAATATATGTTTATTAAAATAAGGATAATATGAAAGTATATTATGTTTTTATAAACAATTACCAAACAATCATATTTCATTTTACAGTTTATCATAAAAGCTTCTTAATCATTATGACCACTTTAATCATACTGCACCAAACCATTCAGTGACTGTCAAATAACCCATTAGTTTTAAGTTTCTGTTACAATTGAAAAGAAAAAAACTTTCTTTTTATAATACATGACACTTAAGTCAGTTAACATTAAACTAATAGTAGTTTGTCATGTGCTTCAATAACTCTTTAGAATTGTATGCGTCTTCTAAGCTTGATCAGATATCTGATTTGAGAAGAATTTCTTCTGGTTATTCAAGATATCATAAGTCTGAGTTGCTATTTCAGACTTATGTATATAGTCTATCATATATTTGATTGTTAAAGTCCAGAGCTCTGAATCTTCTTCAAACACTTGTAATCTTAAATAATATCTTATCAGATTCATCTTCAACATAATTATGATTCTAACAGAAACTAATTCATTTCAATATTCAGATAATTGTTAGAAATTTCAAGTGTTTATCTATAAAAAGACGATCAGAATTGATTTTGTTATATATCCCATTTCACACGTTGTGGGCATAAAATCTATTATAAGTCATTAGAAATAGACTGGTTATATTTTTGAATAAAATTTGAAAAGATTTATGAACCGAATTTAATAATAATACAAAAATAGCAATTTTGACTTGGTATACTTTGTGGAATTTATTTTCTTGATTTAAAAATGATATAAAAAAATTCAGTACCCAAATAGTCTTTGGCCTAGTGGTATGTGAATCTTTGGTCTCCTAGTAGGTCAGGGGTTCAAACTTCAAATCCCACTAATTGTGAGAAAAATGTGTGAGTTTATCTGTTCTATTTGACTTATATAAATACTAAATACTTCAAAAAGAAAATATTCAATATCCGAGTCAAAAATATGTTATAAAAAAAACACGCCATTTTATCCATTAAATTAACAGGTCAAAATTATTAAATACTCTTTGGGAAATCGTATATTTCAAATATATCTATGTTATATTATAAAATATTTGATAATAACTTTTAAAACCCAATTTTTATGCATAAAGTACGGTCTATTAATGCATATTACTCAAAATCCAAGATTACAAATAAATTGTATATAAGTACAACTTATAAAAAAATTATTTTTAATTGGTATAACTAACTGTAGATAATTATCTTATTTTAAATATAAAAACTATGTAATTAGGATAAATATTTAACTTCTAACAAAATATTAATTATTATTTAAAAAAATTATATTATTAAATCAAAAATAAATTACTTCATTATTAAACATAAATTAAACTATAATAAAAAATTTAATTAAAGAAATTATATGAAAAACAAAAAATTTTAAAAAATTAATTTAATACTAATATCGATATTCTTTTTTAAGGTTTTACGATATATTCAAATTTATATTTTATTTGATGATAAAAACATTATTGTTTTGTAAAAATCACATAAATCCGTATTATATCAACAAGACAAAAAGTAAAACAAAATATTTAAATTTAAATTTAAATGTATCTCGTTAAATTGTACGTGTTTTGTAAGACATAATTTGAGAATTTGTTCTTTTTGTTTTTACAATAATGGTTAAAAAGTGAAAAAGAAATGGCTATTTAGTATTTACACCGGAAGAACCAATGGAACACTATTCCTGTTCCCAAACAGACCAATTGAATGCCCAGTTTCAGGCAACATACCATCTTCTTCCTAAATTACTCCTACAAATTCATAACAAAAATCAAATACCCCACACCCCCCAAATCCTCTCTCCAATGAAGCTTACAATCTTTCTTACAGACCCCTTTTCCGATGACCCAATACCCATTTCCTCTTCATCATCGATGCTCTTTTTCTCACTCTGCGGCGGCGCGTGGCTGACGCTTTCTGTAGCAGGCGGCGGCGCGTGGGAAGTAGAGGATGAAGAAGAAGAAGAAGAAGATGACGCCCTGTTGTTTTTAATCTCTTTCTTGTTCTTTCCGTTTTTCTTGGTATGGATCAATCCTTCTTCATAAGCATCGATGATTTCATGAATCAGTTTTCGATTTGGTGAAGCATCCCAACGAACCCAGAAGCTGGTATAGCATCTAAAGCAGTTGCAGTTGAACCGTGGAGGGTGGTCTCCGCCGCCGGACTTGTTGGTGGGTTTGTTGCCGCTGGAGAAGGTGGTGGTGGTTGCAGAGCTTGAGAGGAGATAAGCCAAGACTTCTTGATCTTCCGGTGCAAGGGCGGCGGCGAGAGTGGCAATAGCGAAAGGGAGCAAGGGAAGGTGGTGGTCGGTGGTGGTGGCGGAGGACGGTGGTGATGGGTGGATTTTGCCTTTGGTGTGGTTGTATAGCTTCCTCATAATGGTAATGGTGGTGGTGGTGTGGATTCCTTTGAAAAAAATTGTTGTGGAACGCCGCTTTAAACTTTTTCTTTTAGGTTACCAAATAAATAGCTTTAAATAAGAGGGTTAGAGATGGAATTAAAAAAAAAAGAGTAGGTATGCCCACACCTTTGCCGATGGCCACTCGCAATTTGGAGCGTGGATTTCAACTTCTTTGAGATTCTGGACATGTTTTTTAGTAGTTTAACGAGTTTAAACTTTAAAGCAGGGGTGTGTAAAATTTGAATGGTCCGAAATTTGAAATCCAAATCGAAAACAATGTATTTATGGAAAACCCGAATATACTGAAATCCCAAAACCCAAAAATCGACTTTTAGGGTGAATTTTGAGTTCGGGTTGGGTTTGAATTTTGACTACCCAATCCACCTGAACCCGATCAACTCGAACCTGAAGCAATCCGAAATTTGAAACCTAAAAATCGGGGCTTTTCATAGCTGAAATTCGATTTGGTTTTTGACTGTCTATCTGAACTTGCTCCATACACCCCTAGTTTAAAGGGATTCATAACTTATTTGGTTAGTTATACATAGTTGTTTTAGTAGTGGGTTTTTCTGCAATTTTTTTTGTAACACCCCTAAAGCCAAAGCAACGAACTGACTTAATAACTTCAAATCCAACTTAAAACCATGGTGAAAGTTATTGGTAACTCACTATTTGAAAATGTAATTTTTTTATTTCAAATTGAAAATAAAAAAATTACTGCAATTCCTCATAAAACAATCCAAATGCATGTAATATTTTGCAGTATCAATACGGTTCAACCTTTATCTACTATTTGAACAAATTTATCAGTTGATTATCATTCAGTTTTATCGAGTTCATAAAACTGAATTTTAAGAAAATAAGTTAAATATATAATATATAGCAAAAATGAAGTTATTAAAGATATACAGACTTTATAATTTTACATTTACAGTAAAAACCTGTTTTATTTCAAAATAGTAACCAGATTTGACAAAACACTGCAAAACTGATTGTTGTGAATTAAAGTCGTGATAATTATGGTTGCAGTACACATAAATACTCCCTTGGATGCCTCTTGTGTCAAGATATGGGATAGATATGAGACATTTAATATGTATCCTTTTTGAGACGTCTTGTGTCCATATTATAAGTTTTAGGTTTGTTTTCGGATCATGTGGACAGTGAAGATTACGAGATTTTCGTTATTAGGTTATTTTGAGTAATCATGACAAAGAAGTTACACATATGTCCAAATACAGAGCACCCGTAAAAGACATAGACGTCCAACGAGAATTTTCAGTCTTTTTATTGATTTTTTACTTTCTAATATCACAGATGACCCCTCTGAGTTTAGCAGTAGCATATTTCACAGCAAAGAAATTCTACTTGCGAAAACTGGTTGAACGGGCAAATGGGATGTCGCTCAGGCCTTCATAGGTCCGCTTTTGTGTTCAAATACATCTTACAGTGTTGGATATGGCAAAATACTCGGTAAGTTTTTAGTTTTCTTAATGGGAACTTACGTTTTTCACTTTTAGTTGTCAGTAAAATTTTGCATCGTTAGTATCACACATATACACACAACTAACCTCTGATGTGTTGCTCATCGGGTTCGATCCCACGCTTCTCATTAGCCTCAACCGTTGAATAAACCAAAAAATGTCTCTTTGTATCGATGTCCTTGAAAATGGGTTTCGTACGTAACCAGTTGGGTTAATGATAATCAAACTTTTTGACCAAATAGAAAACTGATACGTCAATGTGAACATGTAAATAAATAAAAACAAATTATTTAAAAAATTATATTAATAAATAAAAAGAAAATGAAAAATAAAATAGATTGGAGAGAAAGTGGAAGCGCGTGGGGGCGTGAAAAAGGAATCAAACATTTGGAGGGACAACCAAAGCAAAAGACCTTTCGGCGAGACACAAAACCGCCTTGTTTTCATATAAACCGGTTCTTTCATCTTTCAGACCCCGACCGGTTCCTCTTTTGTTCCGTAAAATTAACCGGATTTAATTAATTTTTTAAAATCACGATAATCTTGTTCAGCTAAGCGATAATCGTTTAATCCAAATCTCATTCGGTTCAAATTGTATATTCAGTTTTGATTATTTGCAAAGAGCAAATTACATGAAAAAGTAATGTACTTTAACTTGATTTTTATTTTTGGTAACGTACTTTCAAAACTTTCATTTTGTTATCTAAAATGTAAAGATTTAAGTATCCGGTTAACCGGTTACCATGTTGATGTGATATCCAACTCAATATAAAATTTTATTGAATTTTAAATTCAAAAGGTAAGTCAAATCACTCGCTACATCAATATGGTAACCGGTTAATGTTTCAACCGGTTACGCGTGTACTTAAAGTTTTTTACCCAAAATAGGAATCATGTTAAAATACATTACTTTTTCATGCAGTTTTCCTTTTGAAAAATTTAAAAACTTAACTTATAATTTTATATATTTCTACAACAAAATTTACCGAAATTAATTAAAATAGTCATTTTCATTGGTTGGGTTCACCTCTTAGTCATTCTTTTACAAGGTTTACTAGAATAGCCTTAGGTCCGCAATTTTAATTTTTTTTGGACCTCGGTAAAAAATGAATTTTTTTGCATACCTGAATGACATAAAGTATATATACCCGTTGGCAACAATCACCACCACAATCCCTCCCCTTAGGTACTCTCAAACTATTGTCCGTCGTATCTAAAGATTATGAGTGTGTAAAAAATCAACCGATCCAATTATAACCGACCGACCATAATTGGATATCCAATTGTAATTGAATCGGATCAGATTAGAAATTTCAACATTCAATTTGGATCGGTCAGTTCTTGGATGACAACCTAGAACCGAACCAAACCAACCAACATCCAATTATCCATCAAATTAATCATCCGTTGACCATCCAGTTGTCTATCCAACTATCATCCAATTAATTTATTTTCAAATTCCTAAAACCGGAATTTGTTTCATGTGAGATTTTGAATTTTTAACTTCCCTTGTATTGGTTTTACACATATTAAAAGTGATTAATTAATTTGTAACATTTTTTAGAGAATTGAATAAATTAACACACTAGATAGATCCAATCCCATTGGATATCCGATGGATATCCAATAAAGGTATCCAATGGATGAAACCGAATCGATCCAATTATCCATTGGATTGGTTGGCAAAATCCAATATCCAATGGATGATTGAATCGGTTCAGATCCCCTCACATCCAATGGGTATCAACCGATGAACAGACCTACAAAAGATGTCATAATAAATTATTAGTTGATATAACGCTTTTGGAGATTATAACAAGGCTTTATGACATGTTGAAATACAACGTTCTGTTGGTCCTTTTATATAACATTTTTTTTTAATAAAAACAAGTATCTTACAAAAAAATTTGTTCACAAGACCTTTTCTCAAAACTGTCACCTAAAAAAAATTAATATAATAGCGCCTATATCCTCGTTACAATACCAAATATGCCATAACTTCATCTTGTAACGCTTATACATATAATATATAACTTTTTGATTCTATAAACTTAATTCCTATAAAACAATGTATTAGAACATTTCTTTTGGAAACCTAAACATTTATTTTTGGTAACCGTATGTTTCCAGGCAAATTTATGTGCACCGACTAATCCCTTGGGCGACTACGAACGTATGGTAGATAAGATATTGCACTACATCCCTGAAGTTTAACCAATGCACCACAATCCAGGATATATTCTTAAATAATAGGGTCACGGCCGTGGCGTTGGGCAGAAAGCCGATGATTTCAACGAGGCCCTCCCCTTTAACCCGAACAGCCAGATTAATTACAGGTCATCCCCTACCTCCGAATCCTTTGAATTGTGATCCGCTCCGGTCAAGTCGAACCTTGCCAATTAACTTCTGGAGATCAGGTCTCTCAATCCAATAGTGATTGGCCCACCCTTCCTGGCAAAGAAAGAAAGGCAGGTTCAAGCGAATGATCTTTAAAAATCCAAATTTGTTGTATGACTTTTGAAGATCTAAGTTATATTTTTATATTTTGGTAACAAAATAAATTCATATAAGAAGGTTTTCCTTTTTGGGTGCTTTTGATGTAATAATATCAAATTAAAGATATATATAGTATATAAATAGTCTACTATATTATCATTTGATAAAAACTCTTAAAAGTTATTGCTTATTGATGCATATTATTTAAAATTCAAGATTACAAGTAAATTGTGTGTAAATACAACTAATTAAGATCCATGTTTAAATTCGTGTAATTAACTGTAGACAAATATAATCAAATACAAGATAAAATTCTTATTTTAAATATAAAATCTAAAATATAATTAAGATTTATTAAGTTCTAACATAATAATTAGTTATCATCTTTATAAAAATTATATCATTAAACCAAAAATAAATTGCTTCGTCACTAAATCTAAATTAAATTATATAAAAAAATTGAATTAAAGAAATTACAGAAAAAAATTAGAACATATATATATATATATAATTTTTTATGATATATTGATTAAGAAAAACATTATTGTTTAACAAAATCACATAAATTCGTATTATAATATCAACAGAGACTAAAAAAATAAAATAAAACATTGAAAACGAGATATATTTTACTAAATTATACAAATATTCTTCTAATATTATTAGAATATCTATATTTATTTTTTTCTGATTCCACACATTTGATTCCTTTATATATTATTAATTAAATATATAAAAATAGCAATTTCAGTGAGTTGACCTCTCGATCCGTTAACTTCTTATACGTGTAAATGTTATCCACAATGTTTTTTGAATTCTATATTTATATACATTTTAATTTGTTATTAATTAGTAAAAAAAACTATTAAAAATATTAACTTTATAAATAATATCTACGTTAGCTTAATCTATATCTATATTATATTATAAAACATACGATAAAAACTCTTAAAAACCACTTTTTATGCATAAAATATTGTTCATTAATGCATGTATATTGTGCGTAAGTACAACTTATTAAAACTCTATATCTGAATTCGTGTAACTAAC